AGACACCTTCTCTATGCTGAATACATATATTCTGCCCGAGTATTGTGTCTTCTTTCGTCTTCAGAGAAGTCTCGGAATGCTATAAAAGAATTCGGTATTTAAAAGAAATGTGCCAAAAGTTTGTAGGTCAGTCATTTTTATGATTTAATATAAAATCGGGCAACTAATTATTGCCGGAACATCTGTAAATTGAATATTTATGTCGATATGACAGTTAGTATATAAATGACCTCTGCGAAGATTTCGTACTAACTAATCCGGCCTTTCGTATTCAAAAAATCATTACAGCACCACAAGCAATCATTGCATAATAAAACAGAGTGAGAAACCGCTGTCATAGTAAAATAATAATGATCTTATTAAATCAGAGTTTGGTTTTCCTTTAAAGATGTTCGGAAAATACTTGTTGATATAATGAAAAATACGTTATTTTCGGAAGGGGTGTTAGAAATTATTATAGTTACTACCATTGATTTTAAGTAAATAATTTGCGTGCATAACTAGTAGCATTACTACACTTTTTCTAGCTAGCAATGCTTAATGTGCGCGAAAACGTGTAAGTTCAAAGCTTTATATAAACCCTCATAAATAAATGTGAATCATGGTCTGTTGATATTATGTGGATCTTACCTAAAAACGATGGCTTACAAAATTTAAGTTAGTCGAAGGAGTTCTCCGGTTTTACATGAAATAATTTTTGTTTTTTTTGTTCGTCATGTCTGAGTAATTTGTTCAAACCAGTGATTAGTTACGCGGGCCTGTGAGCCACGCTATTGTCCTCTAAGCTCTTCTCCACATTAATAAACTATTTTTCTGCCATGCTACAGCTCCACCTTGACAACATAGGGAAGGCTTACGGGTCACACATAGACCGGTATCTGGAGAAAATGTTTTCTACATAATAATTTGCTCAGGGTCAAGTTTTCTTTTGTTGTAATCACAATATGCAAAATTTGTTAAGTAAGCCTGTGTCAAACTAGTTTTCTCTCTTGAGGGGCGTTTCGCACTCTTATTAAAATTCATCATTTTGAATAATTTAAGTGTCACATTCTAAACAGCACAACGTTACGCCTTGATTTGGCATTTATAAAATATATTCTACACTACAATATTGCAAAAAGACGTGTATTGTGGATGGTCCGTCTAATCACTTTGTCTCTTTTGAAGGTTACCGTGGTAATTTGATTTTCTGTGGACGCGTGAGTTCGATTGTTGCGTTTTGTGTTCTTATAAAGGGCTCGTAGTTAGCGTCTTTCTTTGTGCTTGGGTTTGCTGAGTTTGTCCGCATCTGTAAAACTCGTTTAATATTTTCAATTTCTCCCAGAACATATGAGTGCTGCTCATTTTTTTACTTGGATATTGGACAGTGTGTCCCTCTGCATTATTTGTTTGGTTTAGGCTTCCTGTTATCGTTGTTTCTACTCTTTGCCATTTTTAGGCTATTAAATTACTTGTGTGTTTAGGTGGTGTTTTTTTATTCGAATTTTATTTGTTTTTTTTTGCTTAGTTAAAGTACGAACGGTTTCTGCTTTAAGTGGAAGTGTAAGCAAGATAATTTTTTGGATAATCGCCACTTGTAACCCCAAAAAAATGTTTTTAAGATATTATTTTATCAATCAAATAGCTATAATCCACCCGCTCTACCTTCTCTTAACTTTTAGCGGAAAATCTGTGTCCCAAGGATGTTGATTGGTACTTTCTTCAATAGCACCAGATTTTGGTCAGAGGAGTTTTGGTTACCGCCTAAAGAAAGTTGGGGTAATATAAATGCCCCACAAACCAGAGATTTTATCCACGGCATTTTTTCAGCCATCATATTATGCGTTTTGCGTGTGATTCTGCATAAGTAATCTCATTTCGTACTGTCACTACTCTAAGTTTAGCTGTGTTTTTACGCCAATCGGTTTGCATAATGGTTTAAGATTAACAAAGAGCCAGGAAGTACCCAATATTCCACTCCTTGAAGAATATTACCAATTTAACAAACGTCCACCTTTCAATGACATCCGAGTAAGCCTTTGATTTCTACCCATACTAAGGTTTAAGGCGCTGTCGAAAAAACTTGATGTCAGTGATGCCAAAGTTTCCTACTGGTTTCGGGCCAAACGCAATTCTGTGAAATTTCCAATCATTGTGAAGTTTGCGGAATCTGGGTAACCCCTTTCATCTATTCATTGCCTTAAATAGTTGGAGGTTTTCGTTTTACTTTTGTTTATTTTCTTACGGAATCTGCTGTTTATATCAGGTGAGCCTTAATAATTGGGATACTTACTGATCTACATTCAGGAACCATTTTTATACGACACCTCTGAATTCTTTCGTGCCTATCCTCACCACGAAATGAGTCGCTGTATATTTTGGTATTACATGATCGAATTGGCTTATTATGTCTCTGGACTTATTTGGGTCTTCGTTGAGGTTAAGCGGAAGGTACACTTTTTGAAGTCATTACCTTAAAAAAATATGTACTCTTTTTTCCAATCTGTTTGCTTATTGTCAGCATTGTTTTAATCCTGCCATTTTTTATAAACGCAAATGTTCTTTTATGAGAAGCACATACCTTTGTTATCACAGCGGATATTCTTAAGCAACTCTGAGCTTCATTACCATTGGGTTAATCTTAAATTTAATCCTTTGAACTCATTAAAACGTATGTGAAATCCTAGCCAAACGCTACATCAATTAAATCATCAAAGCTGACAACGTTGCAATTCCTATTCCCACTCATCCTTGAGTGAGTGCTTTTGACATTTTAAACCACACGTAGATACTTCCATATCTGCTAGTCCTAACCGCATGACTTTGGTATTTTCACTTAGTAGATCAAAACATGCTTGAGAGCAAGGTGGTATGAACTTTCACTGTTTCTACTCAAGTGAATTTGGTCGTGTAGTTCCTAGAAAGGGCTCTTTTTGCAGAAAAAAATTATTGAAAGCATGTAAAGGAGTGTTGATAGTTGTGTTTTGATTGAAGAATATATAGGTGTTGTGTTTCCTCTTGCCCAAACCATTTAGGATTTCATTGTGATGCTGACTCATCATGTCGTCACTGTTGCATTGATCTCGTTCTCCTACCTAACAAATTACTTCCGTATTGGGTCGGTTATCATGCTTCTACATGACTCTGCCGATTTTTGGCTTGAGGTAGGTCTTAACTCCTGTAAATACTGAATTTTTGTGAATGCGAGATGATTGGTTCGATTGGTATTCTTTCACATGGAATTCTGTTTGGGCAATCAGCTGTTTGGCAACTGTGCCAAGAATCTGCGATTTTATGGCATTGTTAATTTGCCTTTTTATTTACAATTCACAGGCCGCAAAGATGTTTAAATATCTTGAAAAGTTTTGGCCCTGCATGGCGTGCTTCACAACATTTATATGTGTCTGGATTGCAACACGTTTGTACTACTATCCATTTCGGTAAGTTTTACGCTTCAATAAGTTGAACAATTGCCATATTCTCTGTTTACTATCTGCAGTCAAAATGCGTGCACTCTTCAGCAATTGCTGCCTTTTTTGTACGACCAAAGGTAATTTTTCATTTCCGTATAATTCGAAGGCAATGTAGATGACTATCGTGAACTAAAGTTAGGTAGTCCACATGACTGAGTCTTATTTAAAATATTTTTGTAATGTGTTAACGGCGTGAATATGACCTCCACCCCCCCCCCCCACCCTTCCCACTTATTTCGTATTCATGTTGTTACCAAGTTTGATCTAACGAAACTCCATTTTAAACGTCCAGCTCAGTTGAAGCAAATTTTTTTCCCAATAATTAAATCCATATGCTCTACATCTGGTTGAATTGAAGGACGTAATGAATACACACACGAATAGTTGAGCTTTACAACTGACTCCTCTTGGTGATTAGGTGTGTTTCACTATGATAGAACAGTGTTGTGACCTCGCGTGAGCGTGTGTGTTTAAAGGCGCATTTCCGTGTCTTGTGCCGATTTTTGTCTATCGTAGACCCTGTTTGGTGGTTAGAAAATGACGGAACTGGCCCTCACGGCATGCGATATTTTGGTTTACTAGACGGAGGTTAAACGACATTGATCCACTGGCTTTATGTACGTAACGCCTCAAGTTCATCTGAATTCGGCTGGTTACACCGCCATTGTGTGACAAACAGGTTGAGTTCAACATATTTTTCCTGCAAATAATTTCACTGTGGTATTTTGTGAACATGTCTTGAGTTGATCTGGGCTGTGGGAGTCGACTCTTCCCGCCCCCACCCCGAGATCCTGGTGGCAGGAGCGCTAATTACCCACCTATGCGCTTTTCCCCCGGGTACTTCATTTGTGTTCTATCGTTTTAAATTTCTTGCCTTATGTTAAACCAAGCTTTGAGTCACTTCAGGTTTATGCATTCCCTTGTGTGCATTGCATGTAACTCGAGAAGTCACTAATGAGGGGATCTGAGTGTTTGAGAGTGGCGTGACTTGGTGAACCGGGTAAATGGGTAGTAGTTAATTGACTACACCTTTATTCCTCTTAATTAAGCCTACGCCACTTTTAACGGTTCTATGTAGTAAGCAAAATGGTATCACTAATCTCTTTTTGACCTCGTCTAGGGTCGCCTAATTTAATCTTCCTTTCTTAAAAGTGGTTTCGCCTATCCATATCACCACACCGCAAAATTTAATGCCATTCAGTGTTCAGGGTATTATGACAATTCTTGGCTATCGCGTATTCTCCCTCTCTACGCTCCGCCTTCTTGGCCAGTTTATTGTCGGTTGCTAATGGCAACCGACATTTACTGAAGAAAGTGAACATTGAGTCGACGTCTCTAATGTACCCATTACTCTCACTTATTATCAAGGGATTGTTAATGTGTGTGTGCGTGTGACATGTGCATCAGTGTGTCTTTCTAGTTTAGCGTATTTGACCTTACCTCTCCTTTGGCATTATGGGCAATCCGGAGTTAACTTGCCTCTGAGTGATCTGAGAGATGGCTTAGTCGTATTATTCACTCAATGTCTTGTTTGAAGTTCATACCAATGTAACAACTCTTAAGTGCTGTTGTAAATCAAACACAACACTGTATGTGGGTTTTCATGCTGTGTTGTTTTAGATGCAATATAAGCTAGCCATGCTTGTCGAAAAAATCTGGGCAGCACCTTTAAATTCCTTGCCATGAGACAGAGATGTGCAAAATGCAAATGCGTTGTTAGGTGGTGGTGGTGGTCCAAATTTCAACATCGATGCTAAAGAAGGGAACCACGAAAAACAAAAAACACTAATGTCACTCCATTAGTTGTGAGCTATAAATCCGAGAGAGGAAGCTTAGTGCCTACTGCTCTTTGCTTAGCACAATTTTCGTCAAAGTATGATTAAAAAAGCTACAATAAGTGGAGGCCTTGCACATGACCGAGTGGTGTGATTTTACAGTAGTCTTTTGCTACGTGTGTATTTAATCTGTTGTATCTGCTACTCTTCGTATGATGTTCCTGTAGTCATTTCCTCATTCCTGTAAATTGGGAACCAGGTACCCCGTGACCCATAAATGACCTCTCTCTATTTCAGGATCATCGCATCATTGTTTTACGACGCTCCAGTGTTGATTGGCTTCTATCCAGCCCTCAGTGCCTTCGCAGTCTTCCTCATTACCCTTCAACTTCTTCACATCTTTTGGACGGTTCAAATCATCCGGACAGCTGTGAAACCGTTCACTACTGGTCAGGTAGGGCATATCTATTTTTGACAGGTTAACCGAGAAGTGTGTATTAAGATCTCAGAGCTTAAAGCCATTATGGGGGTCGTCTGTTAAATGCGTCTAATGTCATCTGCGCTTATTGTTCATCTAGTTGACTTCTGATGCTCGAAGTGACAGTGAGATGTCAGACACAGCCAATGATTGCACCACTGGTATCCATGCCAACGGAGTCGCCAAAGCCAGATGAGGGAGGGATTTTGCAAGCGTTTGCTTGCGCTTTCTTTCTTCGCTCTTGTTCTTCCCCTTTTCTTCCCTCTTTCCTTCTCACTCTGTCATGTAAATGCTGAAGACAGACGGCTTCTCCTCCTTCATATGCTTACTTTTCTCCCCCTCCTTCGCCTTGTTTCCTTGCGTATTTTTATACTTTGAATCTCCATTCTATGGGTGCGCTTACTACTTTATTGGCTGATCACTGCAATACAGGCGTGTTCACTAGATCACGGAGTTCGGATTTTTTTTTCCTTTCCTTCCTTCTCAACTGAAGGCCACCACATTCCAAATATTGCCCTTCTTTTGTGTATACTTACTTGGGTTCAGTTTTTTTTTATCTGAAAAAAAATAACAAAGCCAACGGCTCCTAGAGTGTTTTAATGCCATTTTTGCCCATGGGACATGGAAACCTGACACCTTCACTTGTAGAGTCTCGAGGGGGAATCGATCAGCACAATCCTCTGAAGATATAATTGGAAAGTTGGGAAGTGGATCAACTACCAAGTTTTACTTATCTATCAAGAGAGAGGGCGGGAGAGTGCCAGAGGGTCAACGCCTCGTTGTCCAATGTTTGGGGTGAAATCAAACATGACATCACGTGCAGATGGTATATTGACGTGACCCATACAACAGCTATGATATATATCAGGGTCATGACCGGGATCGCTGTGCCAGCACTTTTCTGTGAAACGGGTAAGTGCTTGCAAAAGCATATAATTTTCAAAGAGGCCACAACGCACAGGTCTCTACTTGTTACATACCCGGGAGGAGTGCAGGGTATAGTAGGTAACTTTTTGACTTAAGTATTTATTTATTTTAACTCCTAACGTGCTTGACAGAGTGGTGTCAGTTGCCACAATGGCATGGTAGTGTGTTTAAGTATATTTTCTGCTATATTTAGTGGTCCTATACTCGGATGTAAGTTGTACAAACTTTAACTCTCCTGTGATACTGCTATCCTAATTTTGCGCCACACTCCAATAATGAGGCAATTTGATTCTGACCTCATTGCAGCCTTACCTTCAAACAGTGGCTATTTTTATGATTTGAAAACAGAAGAGAAACAAAGTGCTTTTAACATCGATGAGGGAGTGTATCGGCCGGGCGACAGGGGGTACCCTGAATGTGGCAAAAACCGTGACTGCTGCTGCGATTTCTAAATAGGCACAAGGTTGCTATCGTTCCCCACATAAAACAAAGGTATTTTTCAACCTATCTAGGTGGGTTGAGAGGCTTTTTTAATATTTTATTTTTTTGCAAAACGATATTTTGACATGGTAAACAAAGACATGGAACAGTAGAAGTTGCTATTTATTTGGAACTGTAGCAGTAGATGCTGTTTTGCTTTGAAAATGTGCATAGAATGCGAAACTAAGTGAGTTGAGTCATAACTAATCCAGAAAAGAGATTTCCTCCGTTTTATTTGACCCTTGATGAAATTTGGCCTGTCTTTGCCCCTTTCCACTTTTTATGCATTTTGTGTTGTCTTAATTGTCAATAAAATGCTCCATATTTGGGCGTTTACATCTCTACCTAATTCCAATAACCATTAAGGTAATAGAAAGGGAAAAGGTAGGAGGATGCAAGCTTTTCTTCAGTCGCCCTAGATATTTATCTTCAGAGTGAGGCAAAAGAACAACCTTACGCTCGGCAACCCTATTAAGGGGGGTTTTCTGGTTGCATGATTAACCTTGTAATTGACGACAACAACTAAATAAAAGGGAGGAAACCATTACTTCTATAAGAAGATCAAGAAGATTTTAGTAAAAAGAAGAAAGAAATGTTTTGGGTAACCTACTGCATCTATTGCCCTCATAAGCCAAAGTATGCGAAGCTAATTAGTTGATTCGTCATAAAAGCCCTACCATCGTAGGTCCACGCAAAAAACCTGGAGGAAAGTACATTTTCCCAACTGCACCTCCTATGAATGTAGTAATGAACGCCCTAATAATGCTAATGTTTTTTATGATTTTTAGTCAGTATCCTGTAATTTTCTGTAACAACTTTGGCATTTCCTTAGTCGAAAAACCAAAAATCAATTAACTTTAGATGATTACCTTTGGGCTACTTCAGCAAAATCAAATTATATTTATTGAAATCGGGAAATAGTTAAATTAAATTACTAAAGGTGGTTGAACAACATAACGGATTCGTTGCAATAAGATGCTTACCCGGTGATTTGATGTATGTGCCAACTTTTATATTTGGAAAACGAATATGGCCATAATAATAGAAGCATGCTGTGCGTAGGCAAGATACTGGGGCAATTTGGCAGAACAGAAAGCGCCTCAAACATTTCACTTTGTAGTCTCTGAAACTTAGTATTGTGACTAATAATTGCAATGCCTGCTTAGCCATCAAAGAGATAGTGGATTTGCTGGACTGCGAATCTAGGATGTTTTGACTAATTGTGGTGTTGAAAACAGGTAGTATGTAGCTTAAAATACATCTACAAAACAAATTTAAATTCGTTTACACTAGATAAGACTCTATTTTTGATTAACGCCTTGAGTAATAAGCCATACTTATGCATTCGCAGTCATTTGTTTAAGTCGATAAGAGATCGGCGGAGTTTTAGTTTGGCGAGAAGGCGTCTTTTCCAATGCTTTGATGTGATTGCGTACCATTCGGCTTTTTCACGCCTATTTCTGTACATCGAAACTGAAGTCCGGTTATCCGGAAAAAATGACTGAAGTTCTGAATCCTTTAGGCACATGTGCTAACAATAGCTCCCTTGGTCCCACATCCAATCCCACGTCCCCATCGAACACTATTCGAAAACGACTTAAACAAAGTCCTTTATCGAGAGATGAGATTATGTCAATCCTTCAGAACCTTGTCCTTGAAGCTTCTCTTGTTGACTACATGGTAGCCCATGGTGTCATTTCATTATCGTCGGCTCGTGAGTTGATGCAAGTTGATTGCAAAAATGAACAGAAAATTGAGAAGCTCATGGATTTACTGGATTCCGAGTGTGATGCACCACAGCACTACAGTCAGAATGCAAAAATCGTACTACTGACGAATGCATTGCGTAACACTGGTCAACATGCCCTGGCTAGTCAACTTGACCGTGGTCGCAAAATCAAACCCGCTCCCCTGGCCGACACAAAACTTTGCGACACCGGATATGGTTCTGACATTGGTGAGCACTTCGTTTTTTCTTTTTATTGCTTTTTCGTTTTGCTATGGTCACCAGCAACTTTTTCCTATCGTCAAGGCCAGTAAGTGTTAGTGGGCCTTTCTGTCTTGCGTCTTATTTTCTATTTAGATCTGTTTATACTTCACTTTGATGCAGAATTTAGTTCTTCCAGTCGTGTTTGTCCTTTTTCTTGGTGTTATTAAACCACTTCCTCTCCTGTTGCTGTCCATAGCATTCATATTCCAATCTTTTTTTTCATGTTCTAGACCTTAATTAACATATTCCTTTTCTTATTACTAAAAACCACTTGTGTTACTGTGATCCAATGTACTGAAGAAGTTAGTTTTGATCACATTTTTACCTCTGGGTATTTTTTGTCGTCCTGTGTGTTCTACTTCCAGATGAAACCTAACGTTGAGGACTACTTACCGAGATTGTATTTTTAATTCAATTGTAGCACCGCTTTCCTGTTGTAGTGGTGTTTGTTGCTTTCAATGTACTGGCACCAAATCAAGTAGCTGCCTCCATATTTTCATACTTGTTTTCTACAGTCTATCGCTACCTTTACCCGTAGGAGTGTTATTCTTTTCGTTCAGCCCATTGGGTCTTAGTAGTACTTATTCAGGCGAATTGAGTAGATATTTAGCTGTTATTTAACTGATGTTCACCACTTCTTTTCATTCCCTAGTCTGAGTGTAGATAGCTTAATTCCACACAGGATTTCACATGCGTATTTAGAGCCGGTATTTTAACTGAACCGAATTTGCCAAAGGCTTTTCTCGGGTGGCATATGGGATTCCGCTATTCTAGGTACTATCTTCCGAGTAATTCCATGACATTGCATATGGAACGTTTCTTTGTCAACTCCCCTAGTAGATAAAATTTAGAACCAAACTTTGTGTTCAAGCTGTCTCCATTTCCCTGCCTTGTAACCTATTCGAGGTTCTAATCTTTCCCATGTTATGGGTAATCAAAGTAAGGAACTCTTAAAAATGGAACACACATGGTCATCAATCAGAACCCCTTTATTGATTGTTTCAGCAGTGCGAAACTGTCATCTACAGGGCGATCGTGATAATTTGTTTATGGTAACGCCAGTTGTTGGTAGCTCTCTTAATCCCAAAAGTGGAAAGAAGTCTATGTCCCTAGGCTTTACCCTGAATGCCGATGAGGGTTCTTTGGGATGTTCACCAAATTCTCTGGGATGACTAATACATGATGACATGTGACCTCAGGACGCAGTTGGTTAGGCGTCGCATGCAGGCGGGGCATCGAACTTGGAGGATATCCGCTGGAAATTATTAGCCTTAGTATGGGGTTAATTCGACGATTAAAACAGGCTTTTGATTATTTGGGTGTCTGTGCTCCCATGGTCTGAGGAGTGGGGAGGATGGGAGCTAAGATCATGGTCTTTCCTTCTTTTTGACTGTATTTGCAGAAGCAATTGAATTTTTCAGAGGATGTTAAGAGATGAGATGCCTGTGATATGTTCATCTATGGGAGTATAACTTTGTACACCTTCGGCCTGCTTCTAGAAATGTAAAAAATAGAATTTCTTGCTGGTTTTTCAGATTTCGGATTATTGACCTGAGGTTTTATAAATTTACTAGTGCCATTCGTCTTCTGGTTCTTTGATGGGGGCTTTTGACATCTTTTGCATATGATTTTTAACGTTTACAGCGTTCTCAAGTGACAAAAAGTAGCACTTCGTCAGCTTTTTTACTTCTTGAATCCACATTTTTTTCTTATGAAGCTTTTGTGTCTCATCTTGGTATACTTTTTACTTCTGGGGCACTTTTTGTTCATGTTTACAAGGGTCCATTTGATTTCTTGGCAAGTTAAAACGTCTTTTTTGCCTCTGATATAAACATTTCATTTGTTGATAGTCGCGAACGGTGAAGGGCTCTAATGTATTGTCGCTCTCCTTGTGTAGGGATGTCTTCTGCCTTAGTCCAATCTCGACACTTGCCGCTCATTTTTTGCCAGTTGGACATCAGCGCTTGGGTCACTGTGCCTGTCTTCAGCATCCCCTTATCTAACAGTTTAAATTTTACAACCGCATTTCACTTGTTCTGGATACTTTTCTAAATCTGTAATCTAATCGGACGATGAGTAAGCTCATTTAAAACCGTCAATTTTTGTTGAAACTTTTTCTAATTCTCTTTAATCATCCTAACAAAGTTATGCTTATTCCCTCACCCCAACTGTCATAATTTGGTGATGAAGGTTGAGGAATAAACTGCCCTCAGTGCCGTCTGTGTTAGTGCAGGGCGAACCATGAGGTTAGAGGTCAGGCTTTTTTCTGGCATCCTCGCGGCCATTCTACTTTGATGTTGGGTAATTTTGTCCAAAAGTTATGGGGCTACTTTATATAAAGTACACATTAGATAATTTAGAAGTCTATAGCCCCCGTTGCTGCATTCCCCATTTCCACACTGGCGTGGTGAATATCAACCACCGTCCTCGTGTTTTTGAAATGTTTTCAGCCGCTCTTTTGCTGAATATCCCAACTGCATTGTCCAAACTATGCTAATACAATTAAAAGAAATAAATGTCAGGCTGATACCTTTTTGACCTTTCCTTTCCAGTCACGAAACACGAATTACTTTTTGTCCTCTTACTGGAATATTCCGTGATCATTTGTTCGCGCTCTTTGTTGTCAAACTTCAGCAAAATATCATCCTGTTTGTATTCTACTGCTGTAGATGACGGAAAATTGCAAGGGGCAATGCATTTAATAGGGTGAAATCTAAGCCACTTTTATGGGCACTTGTTGGTGTTAACCCACTTGAGTGGTAAAATTCGGCCTTATCTGAGGTAGACCTTTTTCCACGTCTGACCAGTCTCCTTCGAGTCCGTTTGTGTGCCCCAGGCATTCAATAATCCTTTTGGAGATTTCTGATGTCCATGTGAATCGCGCCTCCCGTTCGTTTTGTGTGTGTATAGTTTACCCGGTTCCCGAAACACTCTGTGTGTGTCTTAACGCAGTGTGCGCTATTTATCTCACTGTGACTCATTGGGGCTCCGGTTCTCCCTCTCCCCTTCTCTGCCTTCCCATCCACCCTCCCGTTTTCTGTGAAAGCTTATCTCTAAAGTGGAGCATTGCCGTCGCTATCCCGGTCTGTTTTCTTTGTGATTTTTTTCACTTGCCGATTTCAAGGTGTACTAATCTTTGGACTCCAATTTGGATGGGTATGGATCATGATTGAGGTGGAGGTACTTCATATCCAAGTCTCCCGTCAATTAGTTTGCTTTAAAATAACATAATTTACATAAGGTGATGCCCTTCTCATAATTTATTGGTCGGTATGACTTCGTCAGGATTTAGTAGCAATCCTTTTTGCCAATTGTTTGTTTGTTTCCTTTTGAGAATGAATGTTTCACGTATGAATAACCATATTCCTGTTTCCTTCAACTCTCCATTGCTTTCATGAATATTGCATGGTTATTCCATACCTAGTTGGTCTCCAAACTTCCATATAGGCGAGAGACAGATGTCGACTGGAATATACAAAAGGCAAATCGAATGGATGCTTCTTAACTGAAGCACTATGGCAACTCGGTTAGTTAATTTTAAAACAATAGAGTGAGATGTAGGATCATTTTTTACTGCATGATTAACAGTCGATTTCGTCAAACAGCTCCACCACTACCGGACTTTGGTGGTGGGTTTTTTGTGTGACCTTGAGGTGACGAACGTGTCAAACACCCGATATCAGATGATATTTGTATTTATTTATGCAGAGTAGTGATTAGTTTAGGTTTCTCTATGTTTTTTTGCATGGCATGAACGCAGATCCGTAGGGTAGACACATGCATACCCATGTTTGCGAATTCTCCATTATTAACTCAATTTGAGTTATCTGCGCTGTTTCTGTGCTCCGTCGCTCAAACCTTATGGCAGCGTTTTTGGGTACTGGGGTGTTTACTCGGCTGTGGTTTTCTCCCCTGGGGTTCTATTGTTACCTGTATGTGTGTGGATTGATTTAAAAAAGCGTTTATCCTAGTCTCCGGATCCACAACATTGAGTGTGGCTGACGCTGTCAGTGCTCTGTTATCAATGTGACAAGGCCGAAGGCTTTGTTACAATGGGAACACGACTTTTGCCATATTTTGATTGAGACGTAAAATGTCTTCTCACGTAATCTATAGTTTTCCTCTAATTCAACGTTCAATTGCAATAATAGGGGTGACTACGAGTCTATAAAAAGGCGTAGAGCTTCTAAATCCGCTCTTTGTGATCGTAAAACTGCAAGAGCGTAACGCTGCTCCAGCTCTCTCCTGACTTGCTTACTTCGGTCGAGTATAGTTAACGGAGTTTTGAGTTGCGTCACAGTGTCGTGCTGTTTCGTACAATCACGCAAATGTTTCCATTTATTCCCTGGTGAGTGGTTTTAGGTTTCTACGCCGTTAACTACACTCTATGCTCGATGGCGTATGTACGTAACACATGTTGAAGTTGGCTAGACCCTGACCTTAATTCTGTCCTGCCACTTGCTGCTGTTTTGGCCATGCTTTCTTGTTCACTCTACCCTTCTCTTTATGTGCCAAATCACTGTAAAGTAACCGGATTTAAGAATCCGTTTATTTTTTGTTTTTCTATCCAAGTATGTTGCTACAGCATCCTAGCCGCCGAGACTTGACAACTCTCAATCTCATTGCAGATTCCGCGGCTGGTCCCTCCTCCCCCAATCTCCGCCGTCGAGGTCAGCTCAACCTGTGGGTGCAGGTGGCCGCGATACGACTGAGTCCCGCCTCCTGCCAGCATTTTCGCCTCCCTCAATCACGTGAATCTCCACTCTCTCTCTCACCACTATCGCATGGCAAAAAGCGCCCATTATTGTCGAAAAGCCCCAGTTGCTGCGAGGAGGAGACTGGTGACGCTGTAAAAGAGTATGCCTAAATGGATTTCATCATAGTTGGATCCTGATTAAGATACCCCTTTTCCTCTTTAATGCCCAAGTATCGTTTCTATTTGAATTTTCCTAATTTCCAGTTAGGTATAAAACTCAACTTTTCTGTGATAGTACCCCGACTCATAGGCTACGTGCATCTGGAAGTGGTCTTGTTATCGACGCACAAAAGTCTGTGTGATTGGTAACATAATCCAATCACTGATTCACATTGGCTCCAATGTTCCACTCAATGTTCACTTCTGCTTCGGGCATTATGAGGCCAGGAGGCTAATTGGTACCGCTTGGGTCCCAGTAGGCTTGGCTGCAACCACATTAACATTCATCCACAAGGTTCTCCACGATGTTTCATAACGGACGCACTCCGCATACCAATGGCTTATTGTAAGAGCAAATGGTTTGGAAGCACAACCACTTAATTAGGTACATCAGTAGGAAGTAGTCTTGGACCTTCGTCCTACCCTCATTCATTTGCCTCAATCGTCTATCCGATTTGTTCACTTTTTCTTACAACATTGGTATTTGTCAAGTCCTCATCAGGTTTGTGAGTAGTTTACCTCGCTCAGGTCTTGGCTCGTTCCATCACCGATTCTGCTGTCTGTGGTTCCTTCGTTTGCAGTGAGTGGCTTCCTCCTGTGACGTTTTTTTTGTGCGGTAGGCACTCGGCAAAATCAGAGTTGTTTGTCTTTTGTTGGTGTTTCACCAACGCAAATGCAACCGTCGACTCATCCCCAAGGCGTTTGGAAGTATCTTTAATACACTGCGGTGCCTTGAGGCCATAATAGGACCCACTATTATGCAGGAAAAAGTCCAGAAATTCCGTTCCAACGAGCGTTTTTTTCAGAGCCGTGGCTTTAATAGTGTTGTGACGTATTGGTAGATGACATAACGGCAGATTTTTAGGAGGCATAAATCTTGTCCTAAAGGCTCAAAAAGCCCTCGAGAGCGCGTATTCAAATGTGAAACCTAATTTATTCAGTCTAGTTTGGCGTTAGTAAGTTACGTTACCCTTTGGAGCACCTTTGTTCAAGTTTATGCTAAACAGGCGTCTTTGTCGTTGCATCCCATTAGCGGATTTTTATACCTATCCCCCTTTTTGCCTCTTGTCTTGCTTTTTATTCCTTGCCCGTGTGGGTGGGTGTGTTTGTTTTTCTTGCGGGCTCGAAGTGATTTATGATGCCTCGAGCCTCAACAACTTTGCGTGCACCGTTAGATGCAGCATGACAGCTGTGATTCCCGAGTGAATGGTTGATTTTTAATTCGCGAGTGGACTGTCGAAGTCATGGGCATTTCCCCTTACAAATCACACTGAGTGGTTTCTTTTTTGTCTGCCTAGACACCGCCTGTCACTAGCCTTGAGTACTACACTAGGACATAAGCTGTGTGCCAAAAGCGGGACCTCTTTCAAACTCATTAGTAGTGGCGTGTTCCATAGATTTTCACAGGATTCACTCATTACCCCCGCTAGCTATTTGGAGTAGAAAGACCGCATAATTCCGTATCTAATTCACTGTGTGTTAATAACACCTTGCCGAGAACATCTCCTTACGTCCTCCCACTCGTTCTCCTCCTACACTTCGGCCATATTTTGATGCTCAGCTCTCTATAATGGACTATTTTAGCCTACAACGTAAAACAATTTTCTTGTCTCCTAACCTAATTCAGCCATCCACACTAAATGTCGTTCTTCTGTGACATTTTCACGCAGTGATCGGACGATTCACTTGGCCTTGAAGCCTCCTTTTCATGCACAAGTGGAACACTTTCCGTGTAAACTAAAAGGAGCTTGATACGTCCCACTAGTGACACAAATACTAACACCTGAGTCACCTCTAAATATATTCTCGGTACCGTTTGAGTCTAGAAGTAGTCTCAGAGCGGTTAAAATCTATCACCATAGTTCAGCTGTTTTATTGTTTTAGTTTGACATGATTTGGGTGCAATTGTTGACCATGAACTAGTAAGAAAAACAATTATCATAGATTCAAGTTTTTGGTGTAGGGTAAAAGAGGAGCCTCACGCTTGTGATGTCAGTACCTAATGTGTGGATGTACCAAAGGCCTGAAAGTTTGGAAGCCTTAGTTTTTGATGTTATCTTCTGACGCGGTAGTGGGAGGCTTGAGTCACCTACTAACCATCCCCGTGAGGACGTCGATGAGTCAGTTTTGCTTTTGCGATTGAAAGTAATGTTTCATTTCCACCTTGATTACTCATTCGAGTTTAAGTGAGACAAAGTACATTCTAAGGCTATCAAAATCATTGCAGGAACAGGTCAGCATTCTTTTTGCTGCTTTTTTTACGATCTATGCATGACTGAAATTCCATCTTCGTGTTGTTTATCGGTAATGTTAGAATGTCATGACTAATCAAATGAAACTATTTCCAACTTTCATGTGCATACCTCAGACTTCTTTGTCATAGTAGTAGTCATGAGCCTAGAAGGAATTTTGCAAAGCACGCGAGCAGAATAGGTTTTGCCGAGTTACTTATGATCTTTGAGGAAGTTCAGTGTTCACCACCACCACCACCACCAATTTATCAATTTACATTTTGTTGTTGAATTGCAGATACATACCTTTGTCTTCCTTCCTGTGTTACGGTTAGATATTGAATCATTGCATTTATATCGCCTTGTATTTTGGTGTAACGTTCAAGCTCTTCCCGTATATCCTTCTATGTCAATATCTTTATTTTACGGTCGAATATTTCTCCATCGGACCTTTTTTGAAATTCTAATTCCGTTTTGTTGTTATAAACAGTGTTGTTGGGTGTTGAAAATTGTGTAGTTGATGCAAAGGTACTTGGCTAACCAGCTGCGCTTTCTTTTTTGTTTTAGAAATGTCTCTCTGCTTTTCACATTCCACATGGCATGCGCGCCGTTAAGCTACGCGTATCGTCTGACCGGGAAACTGTTCTAGGATCGCGCACTTCGCTGATTCACTAGAAATTAAATATTTGGATTCTTTTGCTACTAATCTCATTCCATATTTAAGTAGACAAGTTCGTCGCCTTTATGGTTCAGAATAATGTAAGTATGGTTGGGCGTGAAAACCGCTTTTTTCAATACCATAACTTTGGGATTGTTGGTGGGAGAGGAATCTGTGGTCTACAATGCGGAGGTATCGGTGAAATACTGGTTGATGAAGACCCTAGCAACGGTGAGGTAATACTGGTTGTGCTTGCAACTTTCAAGTATTTAAAATTTGCGGAACAAATAGCTGGTTGTTTTACGACTACGGCGAGGAACTTTTGACATGGGTTGAGACTACCGTCCATATTCCAGTCACTTAGGCATAAGCAAAACAGAAGTGTAGGATCCAAGACGGCGGTGAAGATATGGCTAGTGGTCGTAATGACATTATCAGGAATATTTTTGGCTACTTTCTATGTGCTACAGTTGGTACTTCACAGATCTGTGTGTATCCTTCTTTCTTGTAAAACCGGAGTTAGATGTATTTGTAATGTCTCAAAGAGGTTTAGTTCTCCATCTTTTTCTTATTGTTATCTCAGTTATCGTTGACACTGACGGCTAGTTGCCACTGCTTCGTGAGTCGCGCTTGCCTTGTGAACGTTTACTTGTTTGTGTATCAGGAGAAATGTTTGTAACCCTCCATTCCTCCATCCATCCCGTGATGATTCCACAAACCCATCTTTAATTGCTCTTTGTTGGCATGTGCGCATGGATGTGTGTTTGTACAACGGGAAATATGGCTTAGGATAAAGCCAGGGACAAATTTCAACAAACTTTGCTCACGTGGCAAGAGCCTGACGATTTATTATGACATTGTGTCGGGTAACAGCTGCCGCTAATATTTCCTCTTTAGTGGTCTAAATTTCCGGTGTCTCCGGGTACTCTTCGCTAGCAGCATTCAACGTAACATCACTTTACTTGGCATCACTCTGTCTATTTTTTAGCCTTCTGGAAACGTCAAAAGGTGCCTACTTTTGGATAGATCTAAAAGGTTCTTCCATATCTTTCAATGAACCCACAAACTCATCACCAGCAGCGGCGGCTTCTTGTGTCAGGTCGAAGCCAGCTCCAAAAGTCAATGCCATTTCCCGTTTGCTTTCGTGTCTTTGTTGTACGGTAAAACGTAGGAGGAATTCACCTGAGATCAAGGCAAGAAACACTAGCGGTTCCGTGGACTACCATCTTCCTTCCTTCGTCTGTCCACCTCCCTCACACATTACCTCTCAGGAGTCACCACCGGACGACTCTGAGATGCGTACTCGAGAACAGGCTTTACGTCTTGCCAAGCTGGCAATTCTCGACGCCAAGTCAAACGAATTCTACACGGCTCTCTCAAGTCCACTGAGTGACGCATTGGTGAAGTTTCTCGAGCAGACACTGGGGGTATTGGTATTGGGGGCACAAGTAGAGTCCCACTGTCCCAATGACTGTCTTCCTGAGGGTTTACTTCAGCCTCTCTCAGCTGCAACAGCAGTATCGATTGTGGCGACGACTCACGAAGCTCTCGAGCGCCTTCACGACGCTGTCACCCTAACACCACAAGAGAAGTTGCCCCACTTGCCACCCGCCAGTAGCCTCTCCTCGGCTCTAGAGACTATCTTCCAGCAGGAGAGGGATTTCATGAAAAAAATTGATTTAAAGGACATCTGTTTGAGTGTCGCGTTGCAGGCAGACGAGATGAGATTGGCAGCAAGTGAGTTGGAGGAATGAAAACGCACATCACACCGACTAGCCGACCAATCATCTATCCACTTTTGCATTCTGTGATTTGGAGCAGGAACTCTCCTTCTCTCCGTCCCCACCCTACCCATCTCTCTTTTTGCTATATGCTTTATTTATTAAGTAGACAGAAGCAATTGCAATTCATTCGCTTATCTTTTTTCCTTTTTGCTTCTGCTTGTGAATTATTATTGTCTGCTATTTGATCTGGTTGTTGGTGTCGTTGCTATTGCGAAGGGCAGTCGTAGATCTTGTTAATACACTTGTAGACGCCTTTTTTTGTTTGTGGTTTGATGGACTATTTGGGAATGCTAGTAGCTAATTAGATTCGCCTCGTTCATATCAGTGCAAAGAAAACGTTAGTTGTTTGTTCAGTTTGGAGGCCTCATCTTCG